AAAAAGTGCAAGATTGTGGTAACGTGACAGAGTTTTATGGCAAATGACAGCGAAGAGGTGAGGATCAATGTGCCGTGATGGCTGAGGAGGAGCTGCTGGTCACCCTGTGCCGCGGCGACTCCGGCTCCGGCGGCTCCTTCGGCTTCTCGCTACTCGGCGCCTCGGCGTCGGCGGGCCTGCCGGCCGCCCACGTCATCTACGACATCGTCGAAAACTCACCGGCGGCCAGGAGCGGCAAGGTGAGTTACAAGACCGCGCAAAGTGGAGCCTTTCCGCCATAAGGACGAGGATCGCGTACCTGCGGGAACTATAGGGAACTGATCCCTACGAATAAACAATTCTCAGTCTCAGGATCGATTTTCGCGTATGCTACGATCTTTTTATAAATTAACCAAACGACAATCTTCATGGGCTTGTCCCTCGCGTTGCTAACGTCGTGGAAAATTCATTCTTACGAATAAAAGAAACTGAGAATTTTTTATGATTTTTCGTAGATCTGCAGCATAAACAATTTAATAAAATCATTTTCGTATATTTGAGAAATTCATACAAATCAGTGCACACCAGACGCTATAATTCTCACAAAATTGATTTTCTTGTGATTGCGCTTCTTGCAGAATAGGAAATTAATTTTTGTGTATAGATGAATGAATACGATTAACGTGCAAGGTCGCTTTTTTTATACATCCATGATACAAGTGATTGATCTTTATGGATTTATTCTTAGATAAATGCTTGAATTAAGGTCGATATTCGCTGTCTGCATCGGGAATTGATTCTTAAGAATAAAAAAGTCAATAGGCATTGAAATGAATAAATTAAAGAAGAAATGATATTGTCATGGCTCTTTTTCTACAAACTGTAATACTGACATGGCATACTGACTCGAAAGAAAAGACGTTACGTTTTTGCATCACTAGCTGGAAATGAAACAATGAAGACAATTTAAGCATATCTTTAGAATACATCAAATATTGCGGACTGTAGCTGTCTTTTTTTCGAGCGATTTATACACCTGTAAAGAGGAAGGGTGTAATTCATTTTAGCACATTTTAAGAAAGCGATAACACTCTTCTCAACGTAACTCTTGTCTAAAGAACACTCGATATATGTGGATAAGAATTAGCAATTATTCCTAAGTACATCCTAGATGTTTATAATTTGAATAAAAGTGATGTATATTATTTTTAATATAATATAAAATCGGTTGATTAGAATATAATAATATTATTTGTTTTTTCATAAACTGCTCAGTATTATAAACATAAAATTTTATTTTTAATACTAAATTAATACTTATAAAGTTAAATTAAATTTTTTTATATATTTTACAATTGTTTATAACTAAAAAATTTAACAAAATTCTAATTTAAGTTTTATAGTTTCTAAATTGATAACATTAAATAGTGATTTTTGAAAATTAATTTTATTAAAATTTCTAAGTGATCAAAAATTTCTAAATTTATATGACTTATAAATAAACATTAAATTTGGATAAAGAACATGATTATTTATTTATTTTTATATATGCATCGATTGTAATCTATAATAAAAGAAAAAGAAATATTATATACCTAATTCGGAGAACATGATTAAGGTATTTTTTTTATTATCGTAAATAAATGATAAACAACACGTAGATGCGATCAAGTGGGAAAGACTGGTTACGAAGTCGCGCAAGTTCGGTTAAATTTAGTTTTGACGCTGGAAACGAAGAAAAAAATGACGAAGACAAGATATGTGATGTAAAAGCGAGAGTGCACCAGCTGCATTCTTTCTGCACAACGACACAGTTTTGCGAATTATATTTAATAACTCGTCAGAAATATCACGAACAAATTTTGTAGATATCAATTGTAGAAGAGAGTATCGAGACAATATAATTGAATAAGCAAGGATAGCATATTAATATTGTTTGATTAATAAATTTCTAAAATATAATGTAAACATTATATTCATCTTAAACATTATAACATCTTAAAATCTGTTTATATTTTTTTTAAACAATATTGCACCGTGGGGGAATAATTTTGCCCTGTTTTACGTTTTTCAATCAGCTGACTTCTTAACAAAGCGAGTTGCTTTTGACGATCATTAATCCCTCCGAGAAATATGTTGAGTCTCTTAAGATCGTTGGAAACAGCATCCGTACAAATACCGGGATATGGGCAGCTGGTCCAAACTGGTCCGTCGTCCCAGAGCAAATCCAGCCCCCCGATCCTGGTCTCATGCCCACTGAAGCGACCCTCCGAACAGAATTATCGATTTATTTATACGAAATATACCGAAAGTTTAACTTTTATGTGTTAACAATTTTATTAGGAATATGTATATTTTAATCAAAAGCAATATAAAACATATTTAACATGAAGATATATAATTGAAAATTTACATATAAATATATGTAAATAAATACATATTTATATTAATTACACGTATATTGATATATAATAATGTATAAAATATTAATTTGACTTGTACTTCAAAATCAAGGACATTGAGGACATCGTCGACTAGGTCAGACTTCAAACGTTGGTCTTCATTATCTGTCCCGGTTAAGGCTGGGGATGCGTTAATTTCCAATAGCCAAGGTCGCAAATCATCGCTGAGAAGTATATCATAGCCATAAAGCTCGAAACAGTTGCGATCCTGCATCATGGCCGGTTGTACTGCCAACAGACTTGCCATTATTACGCCTACGAATATAATTAATTAAATAAATATGATATGTATATAAACATTAATACACGTACAACGTACACACACACACACACACACACACACACACACACACACACACACACACACACACACACACACAACATAAATACACAAATAATTGTATAAAGTGGTAAAGCTATTTGTAATGTGTGTGTGTAATATGGATGTGTATGGATAACTCGATAATTTTATGGATACCCGCGATGCGTTGCATCAAATTTTCAACCACTTCCGCCTCGTAATAAGCTATCAAATAATCCCTGAGTTTGCTTAATGCCCATTTGCAGTTCCGTTCTCCGTTTTCGCCTTTTACCGAAGGGATACCATCGGCATTCTGACTTGCTTTCAACTGTATTGCCGTATTCGTCAAGTGCACTCTATTATCGTCAATGTTTTCCAGATCGAACAATTGGCCACACAAACGGGCAAAACCTTCCCTCGCTAGCCACACTTTCAGAGGATGAAATGATGTCACCAATACGTAAATGCGTAAATCAAACTTTCGTCCTGAAGTCAGAATTTTAATTATCATCGGAATCATAGATATTGCAATATTTGAAAGATTCATTGCGGAACTAGTTTGTGATTTTGTACTATTTTATTACTAATATCGATTAGTAATTAATTAACGAAATATAAAACTGTATATTATGTATGAATTGTATATATAATATCTTAATAAAATATATACAAACAAATATATATATATATATATATATATATATATAATACAAGTAAATATTCAATTATTTAAATACGAAAATTAAAAAATCATGTTGAAATTGTTTACACGCTCTCTCGAATTTCAACAACTTTATTAATTTCTCGATTATTATTTTTATATTATAATTCTTATTATAATTTATATTATGATGAATTAACGTGATAATTTGTATTATTATTTCTTGTAATATTATGAATATGATAATATTTAATTACTGATGTATATCTATTTAAGGTAATAATATATTAAATATTTAACTTGTTCTAACATCTCTAGGTATGATGATCATTAATATCGTGTATTTCAATTGCCGATTGACTCGACATAAAGATTAAAAGAATTAGATTTAAACCTGCGACGAGATAAGGATTATCTATGTATCTTTGAACGACGTAAGTCTCAATTGGAATTCCTGGTTGCTGTAATTTAACCTCTTTGCTTTTCCACTCGACCAAATCTTTCAGCTTTCTAAACAAAAAGATACCCTTGCCTCGCGAGCTCGCTACTGGTTTGACTATCCACGTAGCTCCCTGTTGCCTGCGATTATTTATTGTCTTATTAATATATTGTAACTCTATAATTTTAACCTTGGATAACTGTAAATTTAATCTTATCCTTATGTTTAAAAATACCTTTTTATATTTTTATTTTTACGCGAAGAATATAGATCAGAATAAAGACCCTAGCATTCTTGCAGATTTTTGGAATGCAAAATAAATACAGTAAAAATATTAAAAAATGAAGATGTATATTTAATGTGTGTACATGTGTGTGTGTGTGTGTGTGTATGCATAAAAATATAAAAATTTAAAAGTTTATTATAGGAACTATGTAGCTAAATGAATTTTACAATATTTTAAATTAATATATTTAACAGTGACTTAAAAAACTTCTTAAACTTCTTAATACATTTTTGTAATCTAAAAAAATTTTTAAGATATCGATATCGTATATATCGATACTGATTACTTTTTTGATCGTAAAATTTTTCTCGATAAGAGAACTTCTAATAAAAATTATACGAGATTATGTGGAGAATGATAAAATAAACATAAGGGACATTGGGATAATAAAATGAAGTAGATTTATGGCAAATAATATAAAATTAAATCTATCTAATTAATGAAATCTATCTAATTAAAAGTAAATAATGAATAATCTACTTGTGATATTCCTCAACAAACAACCGGTAGTCACTAGGCAACTCAAAGGTTACAGGCATAACGTCGCTGATGCGAGCTTCGGCAGTTTTTCCAGCCCTCATGAGGGCCTTTCTGTAACGCTTAAGATTGCGGTACAGGTAGTTTTTGCGTGTAAGCTCATAATGATTACGAAAGTGTGGCACTCGTTGATGAGGGCTTAATTTTCTCCGATCCCCGTCCAGTGCCTGTCGCAACATATCCCCCGTGTCGCACCACCATAGATGCCAACTAGCGTCCTCGGGGTCGACTATCTCAAAGAAGAAAAACAACGATAATCTTATCTTCATTTTTCTCAATTTAACATTCCTTTACTATGAGCCGTAAACCTCGAAAGCAATAAATTTTTGAACCTACATACATTCAATTCAATTCAAGAGAGATACAGTTTAGTACAAAATTTCAATGTGTTATATTCCTTTTTTATTTTTAATCATTCTGCTTTTGTTTAATTATAATAATTTGTGTCGATTTTATATTTATGACTATTCAATATTTTCAACAATATTTTAAAGCTTGTAGCATTTAATCATTTGAAATCTATTTTCAGTGTCATATTATATCAATTAATGCCAGAATTTATAATCCTTTTTTAACAGTTCCAGTTATTTTATCTTTCATCCCTTCTTTCCCGTGCTCCCTTCTTATCCCTTTTCTGTATGTATATATTATTGTATGTATTCATTAACATATGTATTGTTAATGAATTTTTTTTATTAAAGAGCATTTTATATGTAATGAGACTTAATATGGGAAACTTATAATTACCTGAGTCCAACCTCTTGCCAACATTACTTTAACCTGCGTCGAAAGGAAATCACAACGGAATTTGACGACTTTATCTTCAGTATTCTGCTTTTTTCTACAGTCACATGATTTTTTTCCTTCATCCGATAATTGTATCATTTCAATCTTTGAAGAAATGTTCTGTGGATTCTCTGATATCCTTTGCATGTTGTCCTTTGATGTTCTTGCATGTTCCAGCTTATCGAGATGATTGAACAATTATTCAAACATATTGGAAATGATTCGCATCTGTTAATTTATACAGTGTGTTTTAAGAAACTCTGCTCTCTGCTTGGAGACTTTTAAATTTCTATTTTAAATATCAGAATCAATTTAATTTAAAGGGAAATGATTTTGAAATGAATTTTCTAATATTAATGTAATTCTTTTCATTTTAATTAAATTTCCATTTGTAAGAGAATTTTTTAATAATTTTTAGCAATTAATTAACGTATGATGTAAATATATGCCCTATTTGATATTTCATATATATAATAATTGTTTGTACAAGTCAAAATGCATCGTTCACAGAATGTCGTCCATGATCTATTAGAGGACGGATTAGAGGACAGCGGGAGGAAAGTCAATGTCATTGTAGGTCCGAAAATACGAATTGGCCATCGGCCGAAAGCTCCATGTTCGTATGTTCATGCGATCAGTCGCATTTCGTTGGTTGCAAGTTGTTGTACTTTTTAATGCGAATAAAGAATTCGGAATCATATTCTAAGGTGTGTTTAAAGATTGCATCGAATGCCCAAACTCGCGTCCTGCCTATCGTGCTGTTTACGACCTTTCGACTTTCTTCTGAATCGATTTTCTGAACGCAGTAGATATGATTACGTTGAATACATGGCACTCTGTCAGGTGAATGTTATAATTTTTCATAAAAATTTATCCAAATAATATATAAGAAAGATAATTATATATAACAAAAGAGATACAAATTGGTAAGACAATTGATGTTTTTATATATATATATCTCATCAAATCATTTTCGAAAATTAAATACTACTTCTAATTTCAATATTATAAAAGCTATTGTATTATATTATTAAAAATTAAATCTAATTAAATCTAATTTCACGAGAGTTATTTCATTCCTGTTCTGCAATGTGGAATATCTTTTTGTTCATAAAGATTGAACAAATCTCCCACTGTTTGCTGGTAAAGCAACTGGTGCATATAAACTGGTATCCTTTCATTGAACTTTTCTTATCTCCAATACAATTTCGTAACAGACCTTGTTTTCAGGTTTCAAGCTTTCACACTGTGGTTTAATCGTATGCGTTTATAATCGTACATTTGACAAAATATATTGTATATACATCGTATAAATAAATAATAAAATTTCATGCATAATTATTCAAAGCTATATTATTAGTTAACTATCAGAAACGTCATTATTTAATTATTATAACTTGATTGATACGATACATATATGTATGCGCATGCTGAAATATTCTTGGTTACATATATTAAAATCCAAAATTGAATTAATGTCGATCGTTAAATAAGCAATGCTTTTT